TATTATGCTTTTGATGAGAATGTTATGGAATAAGGGGCATTATTTAAGAGCTTAAACTGAATTATTATTACCAATAGAGGAAAATATATGAGGCTGAGGGTTGAACTGTGGAATCCTTGGCGCTCCCCAAGCTTGGTTGTTTGCTCGCAGACATTTCGTGACCAAACTAGGTAACATCATCAGCACTAGTGAGTGTAGGGTTTGCTCCTTGTTTATACACAGTAGCTTGCCTTACCAATGTTGGTGGGGATGTGGTTTTTCTCCTTGGTAGTGAGGCAGAGGTTGATGTAGTCCATGATTCTAGATATTTAAACCTTACTATGTATGGTTAAGTTGAGTAAGACTGCTGCCACAGATTCTTTCACTAGTTCTGGATCTATGGATACATACGTATTGATATTTGGATCTGCTACTCACTGAATTCCTGAAGACAAGAATTCCATCCCATCTACACAATGCCCTTGGTGGATGCACTACAATAAATGGCCATCAAAGATCTATTTAAATCTCCCAAATTATGGGCATTGCACTTGCCCCAGTGCTTCCCTTGCAAGGGAAGGCTTCAGACACATTGGCTTGCTGCCTCCAGGCTTATTGCTCAGGTTCTTGCCTGACATATTTAGCTTAGTAGTTGTTAACTCAGTAGCAAGACAGCTGCAGAGCATATTCTCTGCAGAGGTACCTCCTCGTTACCACATTGCTAGAATTCTTCATGCTGGCACTGAAACATTAGCTGCACAATCTGGAAAGCAGATTGGGTTGAGGGTAATTCTTGAGATATTGTTTGAGCTAGGTGATCGACTGATTAAAATGGTTTATCGATAAAGGAGAATATTTGTAGCTCAAGGTTGGAAAAGTGCTCTCGGAGCTTGGTTGTTTTCTTGCAGGTACTACACTAGGTAACATCATCAGTGCTACTGGGCGGAAGTGTGCCTACAGGCAATTTTTTTCCATTTGCGTACTTTCTGAAGGATTTGATGCTCATTTGTAGTATCAATAAAGGAGAATATTTGTAGCTCAAGGTTGAAATGAAGGGTCCTTGGTGCTCTTTCAGTTTGGTTGGGTTTTTTTGCAGATATTTCGTTACCCAAACTAGGTAACATCATCGGTGCTAGTCACTAGCACTAGTGATGTTACCTTGATTGGGTAATGAAACATCTGCAAGAAAGCAACCAAGTTCAGAGACTACCAAGGACCCCTCAGAAATAATTTACATTACAATTTGCTTTATGAAATTGCTAACCCAGTGACTTCATTTGCATCATGTATTTAATCAGATTAGTTAAAGAGTTTTAACATTAACATTGTCAATGTTAATGTTAAAGTACATGTTAAGCTTAGTTTTTAACTTTGGTGAACTTTTGGCCTTGTATTGTACAAATATTTTGGACATGTGATGCGACACCTGGAAAAATATGCCATTCTTCACTTAATCCTCCAGGGAAAGATTGAAGGCAAACAAGGTCCAGACAGAAGAAGAACATCATGGCTTCAGAATCTAAGGGACTGGTTTAGACAAAACTCAGCAGCACTTTTTCGTGTAGCTGTTGATAAAAATAGGATCACCAACATGATCGCCAAAGTCTGATGACGGATAAAGAAAAGAAGAGAGGAGGAGGAGGAGGAGGAGGAGGAGGAGGAGGGAGGAGGAGGAGAGAGGAGGAGAGAGAGAGAAGAAGAAGAAGAAGAAGAAGAACAAGAAGAACAACAAGAACAAGAAGAACAACAAGAAGAAGAACAAGAAGATTGTACAAATACAAGGTCATCTTTTGTTTCTTTGGAGTTAATATTTTATGCAAATTGAGAACATTCTAATTCCATGATTATAATAATTACTGTACTATTATTGTGACGACGATGATGATGATGATATTCAGTTACATTGTACAACCCCCAAAAGTCTGTTCCTTGGCTAGACAGTGCTGAAATGCTCAGATGGTGCCTATACGTATGTTTTACTATGTCTGTTTCGTACACTGATTAATTACAATCTTAGATGATAGGTGTCAGCAATATGCTACACCTTCAAAAAAGAACAAATGTAGTTTTTGTCTGTCTTAACAGAAATACTTTTTTTAAAAAAGAATGAAGGAAATAGCCATTCTACTTTATTCTGCAATAGTCACACCTTTCCTCAGGTATCATGTACAATTTGGCACACACTTTCAAAAGGAATCTGAAAAATGATAATCAATTCAGAGAAGAATGGAACGGATGGCTTAAGGGACCAGAAACCGAATTATACACAGAGAAATGGTAGTCTGAATGTAGCAACTGTCGGCAAGATCAAAGGACTCTAAATAATCCGTTTACATCCTGTAACAAGAGATTAAAATAGTTGTAAGCAACTGATATTTGCTTATTTAAAATGTCAGAGAGTTAGCACAATTATCCTTCCTAGCCGATTTAGAGGCAGGGAGATTTGGCTGCATAAATTCAAACGTCAATTCAGTCAAACTTCACTGAACATGTTCAAATAGACAGGTATGTCTCAGGGGTGGGTTCTACTTACCTTTACTACCGGTTCACAATGGGGCCACATGCACGCTCTTTTCTGTGCATTCGCAGAAGCATCCTGATGACATCAGGCTCGGTGGGCGGAGCCAGTTTTATAGATCCGGTCCAAACCAGGGGTAACCCACCACTGGTATGTCTTGAAGGTATCATTTTTGGATTCCTCCACTGACCAGAGGGTTGGACTCTTGGAATTCTGACTATAGCAACATTGAATCTTCAGACCCACACAATTTATTGACAGAGGCAATGGGATGTTGACAGAGAATTATTCCTGTATCTTCTCTTTCTGCCTGCTCTTTGTTTATGAAATGACTGATTGCAGATTGATTTCTTATGCTTTTGTCCTCAAGAACGCATTCACGGAGCTCTTGTTTTCTGACTCCTGATAAGATATAGTTAGCTAGATGCTAAGCTTTCATACACACTAACATGTGTTACCTTGAATAAATCATTTTCTTGTTATTGCTTCAGTAACCATTGTTCAGGTTGGATCCTTTATTCTCAAGAATACTCAGACGTGTGCATTTTCCCACTCCTGACGGCTTGATGTTCTAAATCACGGCTTTCCAAACCAGGGTAGATTACCTCAAATTGGCTAAAAGTTCTCTAGGTAATGACACATGAACCCATTACCCAATCACAAAAGGGACATTTAAATTAGACTTTCTGAAAAGCGATGTTAGATAATGAAGGAAAATGTCTGCTCTAAATGGGCCCTTTCCACTTTAGGATTTTATGATTTGAGTTGCTGAAATGGCAGCAAACAGATCTGGAAAACTGTAATTCTACCACCTAATGGTCAACCAGATATTTGCAGCCTAGGTCCGCAGCCTATTATGCTGCAGATGTAATTACTTTCGCACAGTCAGTCCAAAACTAATACCAATCAGAAACAAAAGCTGGTGCAAAATACAGCAGGTGTGACAGCAGCCATGCTATCATCTGCTGCATTGACAAAGCACTGCATGATGTGCTGATGGAAGGCTAAAACAGCTTGCATCAATATCCCCCCCCCCAAAAAAAGTAGTTTGCAAAGCTTCAAAGCTTGCTGGGTGGCAGAGGGCATGGCAGGGAGTCGGAGTTTGGAAGAAAGAAGTGAAGGATGGCAAATATGCCCCCAGAAAATGCTTTCCCCTGATGCAGAAGAGTACAGAATGGAAGGAACCTGTTTTTCAGCAATTGCAGAATGAAGTATTATGAGACTGCCGGCCACAAGTAGCCATCTGTTTGCAGGGAAGTTCATGGCCTGGGGTTTTCTCCATGTAGGGAAGGTCTCAATATTGGGAAAGTTATAAAAACAAAAAAAAAGTGATATTACTAGGCTAATTTTCAGGATTAAAGCATATCATTCATATCTCCAAGATTTATTTCTCAAAATAATACTCTATGGATGCAATCTTCCTCAGAGGTTTATTATATATCCTTCTTAATATATGCCAGTGTGTGTGTGTGTGTGTGTGTGTGTGTGTGTGTGTGTGTGTGTACGCAAGCACACACACACCAGTGGTGGGTTGCTTCTGGTTCGGTCTGGTTCTTGCGAACTGGTAGCAAAAACAGCATCGCGGGAGGCTCCGCCCACCTGCCCAGATGTCATCATGGACGATCTGTACATGCGCAGAAGCTTCCCGTTGCAAACCAGTAGTAAAGGTAAGTAGAACCCACCCCGACACACACATATATGTATATTATATGAATTTGATTGATTTAGCTAGGAAAGATAATTGTAATTTACTGACATTTTCAAATAAATGACTATAAGGCATTTAACAACTATTTTAATCTCTTGTTGCAGGTTGTAAACTGATTTATTTAGAGTCATTTAATCTCGCCAGCAGTTGCTACATTCCAACTTGTTCCAAATGAACTGATTCACCCTAGAATTCTAGGGTTCCTAAATGAAACTTAGCATGGGTTTAAGTTTTCCTTAGAAGTTCATTTTGGAGGCCAGAATCAATTATATTAAAGCTTGCTGGCAGATGGTAACTAAAAAAAAAATAAAAAATCAAGGCTATTATCTAAGCCTTTGGGCCCTTTTGGCCATAAATAAAATTGATTGAATTGATCTAGGCACTGTTAGGCACTTTTAGGAGCATTGATTTTAATGGGAAAGTGAGGTTTTCCAGTTAAATCAATGGGACTTCAAAGTGCCTAAGGCCAGCTAGCTTGTACAGTACTCCGATATAGCAAGCAATCTGTTTCTGTCACCACTTGGAAAGCTTTTATTTCATGCATAGCCACTAAATAATCATTGCTTTAGCAAGCACACACTGTTAAGTTCTACAGTGAAAATGCTTATTCGCAAAAATAAAATTAGATCTAATTCCTAGAGATAATCAATACTATATGTTAAGCAGTAGCCAACCACACTTTGCTTCCTGAAGGAACATTTTTTTTAATTTTAAAAAATTGAATGTTGTCGATTCCTTTTGACATACAGTCTTGACCCATCTCTGTGGCATGAATAAAATCTAAGGAAAAGTGTATTAATTGATCAAGTCAGTCTACATGTTTATTACAGACAGCAATATTTAAAGCAGCCCAGTCTATTTGATTCTCTCTCTGTCTCTGTCTGTGCCTCTCTGTCTCTGTCTCTCTGTCTTTCTCTTTCTGTCTCTGTCTCTTATGTTCAACAGGAGCATCGGTAAGAAGGTACCAGCCAGGAGACTGTGATATGGAAACAGATGGGAGATGGGAAGTCTTCAGGTTTGTTCCTTCATCCATATTGTTCTTTGCTCTTGTGGGTATCTAAACATCACCATCTATAGAACAGGGAATAATTAGTTGGAGAAGTTACAGTATATAGTTTTCTTTCTGCAGCTTTCCAGATGACAGCTTCTCCTCTCATTGTATCAAAATGCTGTTAAGAATAGGAACTCTTTGACGAAACCTACTGAACAGTGAAAGTTGTCAAGAGCTGTAGTTCAGCAATACCTGGAGAACCACAGCTTGTCTGCTATTGTAATAATGCTTGATTCATGGGCTGTCTTGAGTTGTCTTCTTTAAACTTTTCTTTTTTCGATGCAAGATGAAAGAGGCACATAAATTAAACTACTATCTCTTCACATATAAAGGGGGAATAAAAGGCTTCTTTTTCCTCGACAAGGTCTAACCTGCAGAATTCTCACTGATTATTTTTTTTTCCTATTAAAATAATCCAACTGTATCAACCGAGCAAAAACATCTAATGGAAGGGCTAGGAGTTAGCCTGCAGATATCAAACCAGGTTGTCTCAATATTTTTCTGTGAAAGGGTTAGGTTTTAGTCTGTACAAAAAGATGACCCAAATATTTGTGGGAAGCTCCCCACCCCCCAGAAGAATGAAATATTTGGAGGAATATTTGCAGGATATTATATTTCCCCAAAGGGAGAAATGGAAAAACATGTTCTTAAGGGAGACAGAAAGCAGACCCAGTCACCCTGCCCCCAAGCCGAAACTGAGGAGGCCAGCTTTTAGAAATGCAGATTTGGTAATCCATTCATGACAGAATATTTTGAAACTCCTTGGCAGAATGGTAAGATTAGAAAGCAGCCCTTCACCCAAGATCCAACACAGGACGAAAGCCATTAGCCACAATAGAAATTGCCCAACACCCTTTCAAAATACAAGCCCCTTCATTGCACTATCCTCAGGAACAGTCCAAACTTCAATGTCACAGAAATCTATAAAGATCCATCCACTCATTCGACCATTTTGTCAGCTGACCAGAATCACATGTGGTTGGTGCTTTTGCTTAATCAACAAACCTTTCTTTCCAATCAGCCTCCATGTTTCCAGTGTCTTTGTCCCAGCTTGGAACTGAACCAGATGGATTTTCCTTCCAACAGATTCAACCAGGTTTTTGAAAAGATTTTCCATAATTGAGATATATTTGAAGGCTAGTGTTTAGTTACCTATACAATATACAATCGTTACTTATTGTTTTAGAATGCACTGTTCACCATCCAGAGTTAAGGTGAGTGAGAAGGTCTTTGTTCTGGTGCATAACCTAATGGCACAGAATTTCTTCGAACTCCTGGTTTATATTGCTCCTCTGGCTTTGTAAAATTTTAAAGGCAGGAAAATTCCAAAGAATTGTGAAAAAGAAATTGCCTTATCTATAAAAATAGTTTTACTGTTTCGAGACTTTTTAATCACAGTTAAAATTTATTTTGTATTCCAGGATGAAATAATAAAGAACCCACTGACAATCTCCACTCTTCCCGACCATAGCTTTGCTCATAACATAGTGCATATTGCTTCTCAAAATGAAACAGCATCGGTCCCTTTGATAAAAGTGTTATAACATTACATTGGTGAAAAACAAGGTCATAATATTAGCACAGACAAGCAGATGAACCGAAGTAAAGATTAAAGCTATTGCTCAAATAGCGGAACAGAAGGTTTAGTCAACCACACTGTTACAGTTGCATAATCCTCTATCCTGGTCCTATTAGACCTCTCAGCGGCTTTTGATACCATCGACCATGGTATCATGTTGCGCCGGCTGGAGGGACTGGGAGTGGGGGGCACTGTTTTGCGGTGGTTCTCCTCCTATCTCTCCGACCGGTCGCAATCTGTGTTGACAGGGGGGCAGCGGTCGACCCCAAGGCGCCTTGTTTGTGGGGTGCCGCAAGGGTCGGTCCTCTCGCCCCTCCTGTTCAACATTTATGTGAAGCCGCTGGGTGAGATCATCCGTGGTTTTGGGGTGGAGTTCCATCAGTACGCTGATGACACTCAGCTGTACATTTCCACCCCAGACCATCCCAATGATGCCTTGGAAGTGATGTCCCAGTGCCTGGAGGCCGTGCGGGTCTGGATGGGGAGAAACAGGCTTCGACTCAACCCTTCCAAGACCGAGTGGCTGTGGCTGCCGGCGTCCCGGTATAGCCAGCTGACGCCATCGCTGGTTATTGGGGGCGAATCATTGGCCCCCACAGAGAGGGTCCGCAACTTGGGTGTCCTCCTGGATGCGTGGCTGTCCTTAGAAGGGCATATGACAGCCGTGGCCAGGAGGGCTTTTTGTCAGGTTCGCCTGATACGCCAGTTGCGTCCCTTTCTGGACCGGGACTCCCTACGCACGGTCACTCAAGCACTCGTCACTTCTCGTCTGGACTATTGTAACGCTCTCTACATGGGGCTCCCCTTGGGGTGCACCCGGAGGCTCCAACTGGTGCAGAATGCGGCTGCGCGGGGGATTATGGGAGCGACGGGGCGCTCCCATGTGACTCCTCTCCTGCGCGAGCTGCATTGGCTTCCGGTGGACTTCCGGGTGCGCTTCAAGGTGTTGGTGATTACCTTTAAAGCGCTCCATGGCTTAGGGCCAGGGTACTTACGGGACCGCCTTCTGCCACCAATAGCCTCCCACCGGCCGGTTCGCTCCCACAGAGAGGGTCTCCTCAGGGTGCCGTCGGCCAGACAATGCCGGCTGACGACCCCCAGGAGGAGAGCCTTCTCTGTGGTGGCACCTACCCTATGGAACAATCTACCCCCAGAGATACGAGTGATTTCCGACCTCCGGATTTTTTCGTCGGGCCCTAAAAACTCATTTTTTTCAACTAGCTGGTCTGTCCTGATTTTAGGGTTAGTTTTAAAATTTTTAAAATTTTAATATTTATTTTAATTGACAAATTTTAAATTATGAGCCAAATTTATAAATTATCTTAATCTTATTTTAATTGTGATGTTTGTTATAGATGTTTTTTATCCGGCTGTTCACCGCCCTGAGTCCGAAAGGAGAAGGGCGGTATAGAAATGCGAATAAATAAAATAAATAAATAAATAATAATGAAAGATATATATTATTAGTATCTTTTTTAGAAAGTTGTAAGGGGAAATATCATACAAATTAGACAATGAATTCTACATAGAACTGAATGATGTACACATTCAAAACAAATACTTCACCAACCTCTATCAAAATTGTTGAACTTGGTTTGAATAGCTATACAGGCATTTAAGCTGGAACTTAGAAGGCTTCATTGCCCAACTCTTACTGCCACCAATTCAGCTCACCTCATTGCTGAAGAAAGGTTAAGCCAAAATCTAAGGTTTAATTGAGGACTCTGATAGGTGTATTGGAACCATGAATGGGAATCCATTTGCCTCTGTCAGCAAATGAGGGCATTTCCCCTATGAAGTTGGCAAAGATGGCATTTTCCCTATGTAGTTAAAAATTGGGAAGGACTGAACTAGAACTATGCAGAAAAGCACAGAATCTTGATCTGAATTGGATGTATGAATCACTTATTATGGAATAAGATTTAGCTTCATGTTATATACATTGTTATTGTAAGTATGAATCCCACATCTAAGTAATGAGGAATTTTGCAGTGCCAATTCTTACTTCTTTTCTCTTTTGACACCAAAGCAGTAAAAGAGAAGGAAGAGGATGGGGGAGGAAGAGGAGGAAGAGGAAGAAGACGAGGAGAATTCTTATCCAAGATTTGATTTCCTGGAGCTAGACAACACATCTGCAGTATAAATATGGTTGATGAACAGTAACAGAATTACTACTCCATAAAAAACTCAGGAAGAATGCTGAGGTAGCAAAGACTTCACAGTCTTTGCTACCTATTCAGTAATGATCATTGAATGGAAAAATAAACAAGATGACTCAAACTCATGTTACAGGAAGACAAATTTGATGTAGTAGACATATCTGAGACTTAGGACGAATGGAAGAACACCATTGAAGAATACAGCCTGTTCAAAAGTAACAGAGGCAATTCAAATGAATACGTAGTTGTACCATATGATTAAAAAGAAGAGAAAAAAATAGCAAAGAAATTGAAGGGAATCCAGCATAGTTTGTCCAAGAAATTCCTGAGCTCTCTGACTTACAATTCTGTCTTTCAAAGAGGGGAAGAAGAAAGAATGGGATAATTAGTTCTGATGCTAACCATCAAGGAAGACTTAATAACAGAATGGAAAGTGAAGTCTGTGAGCAAAGAAGACTATGTAATGCTGTAATTATTGATATTAAGGGAATATTAATTTGAATATAATAAATGCATACCTGGGACTTCAAGCAAGTAGATTTTAATAAATGAGTAGGACTAGCATTAAGCTAAGACTGAGTGGGCACTGGCCTAGGGTGCTAAAACTTAAGAAATACCAACACAACCCCTCCTTGCAAATCATTCTAAGAATGCAAATCTTTGCATTGGCAGGAAGTAAAACCATAGAAAATGTGGCCTAGAGTCACCACGTATTCTTCAGCTAGACCTGACTCAGAGCAATGATAAGAAGTATCCTATGGCAGGAGAAGTTAATGGGAAAAAGGAAAGAAGCCGATATAGGTAAGAGCTGCTAAAAAAGCATAAAAGCAAACAATTCCAGTTAAGGAGTTGGGGAGGAAAAGAGCAGAAATAGCCAATAGCAAAAAATATAATGAAATTCTGGCAACTAAAAATGATATTATATACACATTGGGAATCCTTGGCTTACTCTCATTTGTTCAATGACCATTCAAGAGTTATGACAGTGCTGAACAAGTGAGGGCATTGCACGCCAAAACAACTAGACACAAGGACAGGCTTTTCCCACATGCCATCACTCTGCTAAACAACTAATTCCTACAACACTATCAAATTACACAGTAGGGCTGTATTACTATTATCCTTCTCATCTTTCCTATTACCTATTTCCTTATCTTCTATATGACTATAACTTTGTTGCTTGTAGTTTACAATCTATATTAATTGTTTTGTTTAGTATCCTAGTATGACTTATGTTGATTGCTTATTTGGTATCCTATGACTATCACTGACTATTGTATCT